ATGTATTTTTTGTTCTGTATTTCTTTTGTTTCTGTGTATACTGAATTGTCTGTTTTTATTTTAGATCTGTCCGTCTGAAAATGGATTAATAAAAACTATTGGGTGACTTTTAAAAAATACAGGCAAGGAAAAAAGGCCAAGAGTTCAGAGAATAAATTTTTACAGGAAAATGGATCAGTGTAAAACAAAATGTGTGGTCCGTGTAGCTCAACAAAAAATCCTTTGGCTAACTACTTCGATTTCCATCTGTATAAAATAAGGTTAAACAAGTTCCATTTATCTTAGAGAGCACATGAAACAGCTGCCAATGAGGTATTCTTTCCATTCTTAAAATACACTCTGTCAATGTAAGTCAACTTCTTCAAATCCATAGCAAGAAAAGTCTAGTCTCACACTTAAGACTGGATATGTTCTCCAAATTAGGTACTCAGGAGACCCCAAAATATCTCTCTTTATTAATGCTAATTTGCCTTAAATAAAGGATTGCAGGCTCCTTGGTGCTCTCTGGGCTTGGTTGTTTTCTTGCAGACATTTCATTACTTAGTTTGAGACCAAACCTCACTCCTTTTTTAGCGCTGATGGTGTTACCTAGCTGGGTAATAAAACATCTGCAAGAAAACTACCAAGCTCAGAGAGCACCAAGGACCCCACAGGTTCAACCTACAAAGGTTCTCTTCTATTGAGAAAGGATTGCCTCTAACTTTGTATTTTTCACCACACGAGTTAAATTTGCAACCCTAAATGGAAGGGGCTCTCCCAAAAAAACGCCAGTTTGCAGCTCTCTGCTATTAGACATCAAACCAGGATTTCCAATGCCACTTCCATTCTCCAGAGAAAAGGCTAAATTCCAGATGGCGAACCTATGGCACTCATGCTTTCTAGGTACACGAGCCGTCGCCCAATATATCTGCAGCTGTGCATGCGCGCGCACCCCAGCTGGTGTTCAGGCCTCCAGTGCGCATGGGTGCAATTCAGAGGACCCAGCTGGTCTTCGGAACTCCCCTGCACATGCACGCGCGTTTGCACATGCATGTGAGAGAACTTGCATGCAGCACGTACATGCATAAATGGCATTCGTGCATGTGCATTGCATGCACAAAACCCACATGTATGCACGGATGGTGCGATTGCTCAGGCAGCACGGGGGGGCACGCACGAAAGCTAATAGCACGCGTGTGCACAAAGCACGCACCTGTTCGGCACACGGTGAGTAAAAGGTTCGCCACCACTAGGCTAGGTGGACGTATCTCCGCGTGCCCACCCCGAAAGCCATGCCAATAATTTATTTTGCTTTTCTTGCTTTTCCTCTCGATTAAAAAAAAACCTCACCAGTAAGAACAAGACTGCAGTGTGCATCTAACTGCAACAATGACTTTAAAACACACACACACACACAGACAAAGCCATAATATTTATTCAAGAAACATTTCTAGCCTCGCCTGCTTTGATTGAAAGCGAGCCGATAACCTGGATTGGATTCTTACAGGTGGAAATTTCATGAATTGCCAGTTCTCAACACCTGTGTCCTTAGCGCTGGGTCATGTTGCTGGATCTCAGGTTCCATAAGGCTATACTTTTCAAGGGAAATCAAAAGAACGGGAAGAGGAGAGCTTTATGGGTAGATAATTTCAGAGCTATACGAGATCACAGTTGTATCCTAACCACTATCTGGTCTGTGGTTGAGACATCCCTCTCTTTCTGCTCCCTCGCACGCACACATTAAAGACAATTACAGGGCAAACTTTGAAAACATCCTGGAAAACAAAATCTATCCACCAGTGGCCGGCAAGATACAATTACATCCACACTCCATTGTACAGAGATCGCACAACCTTTGCGCAACGCTACAGCAGTCCTTGTCTCGCGGCCACAGTTGGGACCGGAATTGTGGTTGCTAAGCGAAGTTGTTGTTGTTAAACGAATCAATCCCAGAAGCAGACTCCAATTTCATCATCGTTTTTACTCCGGTCATTAAAGAAATCACACAATCGTTAAGGGAACCCAGCTTCCCCCGCTGACTTGGCTTGTCAGAAGCTGGCTGGGGAAGTGACATGATGGCAAGACGTCGCAACTGTCCTAAATGTGGCCTGTGGGCTGTGAAAATATCTACACATCCTGGACATAAAATTGTTTCAATTTCTACCCTCAAAACGACGCTATAGGGCCCTGCACACCAGAACAACTAGACACAAGGACAGTTTTTCCCCCATGCCATCACTCTGCTAAACAACTAATTCCCACAACACTGTCAAACTATTTACTAAGACTGTATCACTATTATTCTTCTCATCCTTCTATTACCTATCTCCTTCTACTTATGACTATAACTCTGTTGCTTGTATCTTTATGATTTATAGTTTCCCCAAAAATAAGACCCAGCCAGAAAGTAAGCCCTAGCATGATTTTTCAGGATGCTCGTAATATAAGCCCTATCCCAAAAATAAGCCCCAGTTCAGATCATCAGCCAGACGGGATGCCGTATTTCCCTGAAATTAAGCCCTAACTAGAAAATAAGCCCTAATGTGTCTTTTGGAGCAAAAATTAATATAAGACCCGGTCTTATTTTCCGGGAAACAGGGTATTGTTTTATTTAGTTTTCTAGTATGATTTGATTGCTTATTTAGTATCCTATGACTATCACTAAGTGTATCTTATGATTTTTGATGAATGTATTTTTTTATGTACACTGAGAACTTATTCACTGAAGACAAATTCCTTGTGTGTCCAATCACACTCGGCCAATAAAGAACTCAACTCATCTCAACAACTCAAACTCAACTCAACTCAACTCAACTCAACTCAATTCAACTACTCTACTCTACTCTACTCTACTCTATTTTAAAATGTGAACCAGGTGCCAAACACCCAAACACCTGTCAGGTAACCTGGGGAGTGGTGCAATGGTTATAACTCTTGAGGATGGGCCACAAATCATTTTTTCAGAGGCTGTCATAATATTGAATGGTCATTAAAGTAATGGTTGTAAGTTGACAACTATATGTACTTGCAGGAGGTAAAGCTGGTTTATGCATCTGATCCAGATAAATTATGCTTTTACTGGAAAAGACTGAATAGAATGAATGAGCTAGAAGGGACCTTGGAGGTCTTCTAGTCCAGCCCCCTGCTCAAGCAAGAGGGACTGTACTAGTTTGGGTAAGGATCCAGAAGAAAGAAGGAAGAGTGATTGTATTCCTATATACAAGCAGTCCTGGTTGTTTCAACCCTTCATTTAGTGACTGTTCGAAGTTACAACGGCACTGAAAAAAGTGACTTATGGCCATTTTTCACACTTATGGCCATTGCAGCCTTCCCATGGTCACGAGATCAAAATTCAGACGCTTGGCAACTGACTCGTATTTATGACGGTTACAGTGTCCCAGGCAGAGGTGGACGTCACATACTATAACAACCGGTTCGCCCAGAACTGAAAATGTGAGCGTGTGTACCTCCCTCACATGCGCGCATCGGAAAACCGGCGATTATATAGGATGTCATAGCACCAGGGTGTGTGGGTGGGCCCAGGCGCTGGTCAGAACTACTGGTTCGCCCAAACTGGTCTGAACTGGCAGCAGCCCACCACTGGTCCCAGGGTCATGCAATCAACTTTTGAGACCTTCTGACAAGCAAAGTCAATGAGGAACTTAATGTGTTACTAACTGAACAATTGCAGTCATTCACTTAACAATTGTGGCCAGAATGGTCACAAAATGGAGCAAAGCTCACTTATCAAGCGTCTTGCTTAGCAACATAAATCTGGAGCTCAATTGTAGTCCTACGACTGACTACCTGTTTGTCTTCCTGACCCCCGTGAATACATTCTTCTCAATCCTAGCAAACCATTCTTTCAATGCACGATTCTAACAACACGTTATTTATTTATTTATTTGCGGGTCAAAATGGGATGCTTCCCAAGGACGCTTGATCCCAACAAACATTTGCTGAAGTTAAACGGGTCAAGACGGTTTCTATACATCACCTTGAATAGAACAAAAATAGAATGCAAATATAATAAAGGAATCAAGCTAACTTGTAGATGCTTTCCTAGAGTTCCTAATTCAAAACGGCAACCCAGACAAGCTGTTTTACTGCGGATTATTTTAACCCAATGCATAACGCTTTTAAAAAGTCCCCCCCTCCTAAATTCACATTCTACATCAATGCTAATACAGTACCGCTCAGCGTAAAATTTATCCCAGGAACCCTGCCCACCACAGCACGCAACAGATGCTGGGAATGTAACTACCAAATAACATAGCAATACTTATAAAGTAATAAAAGCAGTATACATTTCAAAAAAAAATCTAATTAATAAATAAATTCCCATTGGGAATATGGGAATTGCAGTTCCAATACAGGTAGTCCTCAACTTACAACCACAATTGGGTCCAGAATTTATTTTTGTTAAGAGAGAATTTTGTTAAGTGAGTTTTGCCCCATTTTACGACTTTTCTTGCCGCATTTAAGTGAATCATTGACGGTCTTAAATTATTAACACCGTTGTTAAGTGAATCTGGCTTCCCCATTGATTTTGCTTGTCAGAAGGTCACAAAAGGGGATCACATGACCCCGGGATACTGCGACGGTATAAATATGAACTAATTGCCAAGCTCCTGAATTTTGATCATGTGACCATAGGGATGCTGTAATCGCTGTAAGTGTGAAAAATGGCTGTAAGTCACTTTTTTTCAGTGCCATCGTAACTTCGAACGGTTACTAAATGAACTGTTGTAAGTCAAGAACTACCTGTACATCTAATTCAGGTGTGTCCAACCTTGGCCACTTTTAAGAATTGTGAACTTCAACGCCCAGAATTCCCCAGCCAAATATGCTAGCTGATGAATTCTGGGAGTTGAAGTCCACAGGTCTTGAAGTGGCCAAGTTTGGACACCCCTGATCTAAGTTGGAGAAGACAACAAACATATGCATTTTTGTGAGTGAGTGTGTGTGTCACACAGGTGACACCATTATTAGTTAAAATTGAACCATCAATGAATTCTTACTTTTCTGGCAGTGGTTGGAAGTCCAGCAGCGGAAGCTGTATTCATTATTTATGGAAGTCTTCTCACACAGCGGTTTCTCCTCCACCGTTCCTGGACACAAATCTCCACATTCTTTTGCCGGTTTATTTCCTATAATGTAGTTATTGGAAACAGCATCCAAGATCAGAGACCAGTCCACCGTGGACAGGTAACAGAGGTCAGAATTCTTCTCGATCCGGATGGCTCCCCGAGTGATGTTCCTCAAGTTGTACAGCCCAATTTCCTTGAGGTTGGTCATTTCGAAGATGACCAACGCGTAGTTGTAGAAAAGGCTCTTGCCCCGAATCACTGTCAGGTTCGGAAAGAGGTCGCTGAGGGTCTCCAGGCCAGCCACGCGGAAAAGCAACAAATAATCGGTGATCATGGTGAGCTTGGGGAAGCGGAAGTTGCTAAAGTCCTCTCCTTGATTGATCAACAAAATCTGGAGATAGCCTTCCACCACTGTACAGCCCTCCAGCTGCTTCAGTTCCTCCATACTGTTGCGTATGTCGATGTTTGGCCCACAAACTGGGGAGACAAAAAGAGTGGGATTTAAGACGGTTCATTTCATGTCGTTAGAAATGCAAACGTAAATCGACTTTCTGTCCGGCACGAAAGAGAAGGTCCACAGTGACAGTTCAATTAAACTGCTTTATTGCTAAAAGTCTACTCACAGGAATCTTCTCAACTAGCACCTACGGTACTTAGAGTTAGATAAGGGTCAACAGAAATCAAGGGAGGTTGGGCTTAGTCTGTTTGTGGCTACGCAAGGATTCTAGGCTGATTCCCCTTTCAACTCCGCCTCCAGGTTCCCCTCCCACACTTTCCTTCCAAATCTAATTTTAGCGCAACATTTCTCCTTGCTAACAGAAGAAGACTCCAACTGAACATCCTCCAATTATTTTTATGATACTCTGATACTCTCAATATTAGATAATTTATTAACATAGATGTACAGTAGATGGGTCACCCATTATACCAGTCCTGAGCCTTTTACAACCTCCAGGCCACATGTGACCCATTGGCTTCCCTGTGTGAGGTCAATCGAAAATTAGAAATCAAATGTAAATAAGGGTTCGACATGCATGCAATAAAGCTATGTTGCTTTTATTTTGAAGGTAACTGCTATTTTTTTTTCAATTTACATATGTACCATATGTGCATGCCTATGTGGCCTCCCCCGTGGCCCATTTGGGACCTGGACGGCTTCTTGAAGCACTCTGCTGGCTAAAATGGGGCATGGGGGGGGCTGTGTGAGGCCCCCCCATGCAAAGGTGAAATCCAGCAGGTTCTGACAGGTCGAACCAGTAGCAGAAATTTTGAGCAGTTTGGAGAACTGGCAAATACCACCTCTGAGTAGGGTGTGAATGGAGATTTTCCAGTATCCTTCCCCCAGGAGTGAGAAGGGAATGGGGATTTTGCAGTATCCTTCCCTTAGAATGGGGTGGGAATGGAGATTTTGCAGTATCTTCCCCTGCCACGCCCACCAAGTCACACCACGCCCAAGCCACGCCCACAGAACCGGTAGTTAAAAAAATGGATTTCACCACTGCCCCCATGCCCCGTTTTGGACAGCAGGGTGCTGCAGGAGGCATCCGTCCCATCCCCTGTCCCCACTCCCACCCCGGTCCGGCCAACAGAGGAGAACTACAATGCTGATCCGGCCCTCGAAATTTGACACCCCTGCTATAAGCCATAATTTTTAAACACTCAATAAATGAATATACTCCACGTACAACTAACCCTCAGTATTATCATTACAGCTTAATGCTGTTTGGAAAAGGCACCCATCAATCCCTGGAATTCGGAGCAAAAAAAGTCTTCAAGATTATACTTAGCAATGGAGTTCTTCTTCCACTAATAAAGACAACTTTATGAAGACACTTTCCAGCATTTACTTTGCTTATATTCTTGTCTTTAAGCAACTCAGACTTTACGATGTATATGAGGGCTTTCGCCAATTAAAATGAAACTGCCCATTAATAGCAATAGCACTTAGACTGATATGCCACTTCACAGTGCTTTCCAGGCCAATCTAAGCAGTTTACAGAGTCAGCATACGGCCCCACAACGATATGGGTCCTCATTTTACCGACCTTGGAAGGACGGAAGGCTGAGTCAACATTGAGTTGCTCATAATTGCACTCCTCGAGTGAGCAGTGAGTTATTCTGCAGTATTGCATTCCAACCACTGCATCACCATTGGAGTGGGAGTGGGAGTGGACTGGACTGGACTGGAGTGGACTAGACTAGAATAGGAATAGGAATAGGAATAGGAATAGGAATAGGAATAGGAATAGGAATAGGAATAGGAATAGGAATAGGAATAGGAATAGGAATAGGAATAGGAATAGGAATAGGATACCACTTAGACTTATATACCATTTCATAGTGCTTTAGTTTTTTCTAAGCAGAGTCAGCCTATGGCCCCCAACAATCTGGGCCTTCATTTTATCAACATCGGAAGGATGGAAGGCTGAGTTAACCTTGAGCCGGTCAAAATCGAACTCAGGGAGTGAGCAGTGAGTTAGCCTGCAATACTGCATTCTAACCACTACGCCATCATGGGAATGAAATAATAGAAATAGAAATAATAGAAATAGAAATAATAGAAATAGAAATAATACCATTTTCCTCAAAATAAGACATCCCCTGATAATAAGCCCAATTTGGTTTTTGAGCGCATAGCAATAAGGCCAAGCACTTATTTCAGGGTTCAAAAAAATATAAGACAGTGTCTTATTTTCAGGGAAACATGGTAGAAATAGAACTTAGACTTATATACCGCTTCATAGTGCTTTACAGCACTCTCTGGGTGGTTTACAGAGTCAACATATGGCCCCCAACAATCTGGGTCATTTTACCGGCCTCGGAAGGACAGAAGGCTGAGTCAACCTGAGGATTGAACTCCTGGAGTGAGCAGTACAGCCTGCAGTACTGCATTCTAACCACTGCACCACCACAGCTCTTAACCCATAATGTGCTCCATTAACCACCACAATTGGGACACTGGAGGTTTTTAAGAAGCGATTGGACAACCATTAGTCTGGAGCAGTACATGGTGTCCTTCTTGAGCAGGAGGTTGGACTAGGAGACCTCTAAGGGACCCTTCCAATTCTGTTCTTGTGCTATTCCAATATATTATTGAGCTTCTGGGGACTCATAAATGCTTGACTACTTAGGGAAGGATCTGGGGATGAGAAAGCCCACTCTCACAAGTGATACTGTCAAAGTTTATGATGCTCTTGGATTGTTTAAAATTCTATTTTAAACTTTGCTGTGTCATTCTGAAAGTTCCTTCAAGCTTACGGGAACTGAGCAGTGCAAAACTCTTAAATCAATCAAGCTGCAGAAATAGAAAGGACGAAGAGGAAGAGGAGGCAGGAACAGACTTTGGTCCTCAGAGTAGCAGGTGCTTCAGGCAGCCCTTGCTATTAGTTATGTTCCCACCCTTTAGACCAGTGTTTCTCAACCTTGGAAGCTTGAAGATGGGTGGACTTCAACTCCCAGAATCCCCCAGCCAGCAGGATTCTGGGAGTTGAAGTCCACCCATCTTCAAGCTATCAAGGTTGAGAAACACTGCTTTAGACTGTTTTGCTACAACTGTTGGGAACACAAGGGTTCCTACTGTAGTTAAGTGGAAAATTCAAAAACAAAAATAAAAATTTGGACCAACCCTGCTCTAAAATACTGATCGGACTAGATCTATACAGTAGATCTATATATATCTAAAGCAGCCTTTTTCAACCTTAAAAACTTGAAAATGTCTGGGCTTTAACTCCCAGAATTCCCCAGCCAGTCATGTTGGCTGGGGAATTCTGGGAGTTGAAGTCCACCCATCTTAAAAGTGGCTAAGATTCAGATACACAGATCTTAAGCTATGTGAATCTCCACTTAAGGGGGAAGATCTCGAGGCCTCTAGCATAAAATCTAGATCAATAAAAGAAATCACAACCAACTCTCTAATATGACAACTTAGAGAGAAAAAAGGAAGGAATATCCGCATAGCTTCTACTTATTGCATTAACCTTGATGAGTTCAGTTAAGGAGCCAAAGTAAACTGAGGCGGGGGGGGGATCACATTTTAATACCCCCTTTACTGGAACACTGGAGATGGAAAATGCACAAAGTTTAGGGGTGGTTGACAAATCACTAAATCCAGACCAGGGGTGGGTTCTAACATTTTTTACTACCAGATCTATGGCTGTGGCTTATTTTGTGGGTGTGGTTTGATGGTCATGTGACAATTCTTTAGGATTTAGCAGAGGTATTGGTCTACCAGGCTTTTAACTGCTTGCAGAGCTGTACCGGTCTACTCATTTATTTTTGCAGGCACCGGTCTACTTATTTGTTTTTCGAGCGCACCGGTCTACCACCACACTGCCTTTTAACACTGATCAGCTGTAGGGCGGCCCTTGGAAGCCCCACGGCAAGAGTTTAAACAGTTTTTTTCCTTCCAGCCAATCAGCTGGGACTCGGGAGGCAGTGAATAAATTGGGGGCGGGGCCAAATAAAAGGTAAGAATAACGTGGGGGGTGGGGGCGGGAGGGCCCAGCTCCCGAACAAAGAGAACCGGTTCGGTGATGTCATATCGTCACTGCTACCGGCTCGGCCGAACCGGGAGGAACCCACCACTGATCCAGATAGTCCTTGACTTATAACAGTTCACTTAAGGACCATTCAAAGTTACAAAGGCACAGAAAAAAGTGTCTTATGACCATTTTTCATACTTAGGCATCTCCATATTCCTGTTTCGCATTTATAACGGTTGCAGTGTCCCGGGGTCACGTGATCCACTTTTGCGACCTTCTGACAAGTAAAGTCAATGGGGAAGCCAAGATTCACTTAACAAACGTAACGTAACAGCTGCCATGATTCATTTAACAACGGTAGCAAGAAAGATCGTAATATGGTGCAAAGCTCACTTAACAAATGTCTCACTTAGCAACCGAAATTTTGGGCTCAATGGTGATTGTAAGTCGAGGACTGCCTGTAATGGTCTGGCATGAGGCTAAAGCAGACCCAAAGAAGCCAGCATCAATTCAAGCCAGCTACAAATTACAATGATTAAGTTGGTTCCTGCTTCTGGATCACACCGCCAATACAACTGTTGCTGGATTCACATGAAACCCCTTAAAGGAGAGCATACTCTCTGCATCTAATGTCATGTGTGAATCCAGCTACTTCTGTTTTTAACCCAAAATCTTGCCTTAGTTTTGTGTAAATGCAGCTATCTGTGATTTATCCAGTAAACCATAGCTTAATGGAAAATATGAACTGGGGCGACATTGGGAGAATGAGTAAGGATTCATCTAGGAAAATCAGTTCTCGATTTTCCAACAGTTTAATAAGGCTTTTATTCCCCACGAGGAAAGCTTTGGCTTACAGAGAAATTGAATTTAGAGGTTTTAAAAGAAGTTCATATGACGGTTTAATAAGATTTGAATATTTTATACCATAAATCATATCTAACATTCAGCCATTGTATCTTTATCTAGCCAAGTTCACTTTTCTGCGTCTTGTTTTTC